AAACTGTGTGGGTCCATCTAAATGGTTTGATAATTTTGAAACATTTCATTTCAATTTTGACTTTTATTACTATTATTATTTTTAACTATACATTAAATTTTGAAACAAAAAGTCATTTCAAATCGAAACGCTGCACTTTTCATTTTGACACAGGCAAACCGGGCTATTTTGACAATTTTGGTTCCCGCCCCCCCCCCCACACACACTTTTTTTTTTTTTGAAATGGGAAAGAACTGATGCTTTCCTGCCCCCCCCAAAAAAAGTTTTTCATTTTTTATGAATTGGCATTTTTTGATGGAGAAATGTTTTGTTAAAAAAAATTCCAACCTGCTCTACGCCTGCGTTTTAGTTGAGTGCCCAACACACAAGACCGCTCTGTCTCTGGTTGTTTTTCAAACATGGTTCAACAGTATAGACAGGGGCCTGTTGCTTACCTTCATCTCACAGGTATGGAACGTGGCATGAGCCCACTGCTGATCACCTTTGTACAGATCTGGGCCTTCTTCCATGGAGTTTTAGAAACTCAGACATGGCCAGTTTTTCACATGCAAGGAACACTGGGGTGGGCATCTGAATTTGATCCTGGGCATGTACTCTTTTTGCCAACAAATGCAAGGTGTAGGGGTTGGCAAAAACGATGATTAAGTTTCAAAACCATCTGTGGCAATACTGAGACATTCATGAATTTCCCTCTCCCGGGTGAAAATTCTTTCTTTGTTTAGTGAAAAAGTCAGTGTCCTTGTTGCTGAGGCTGCAGAAAAAGGTGGTAGGGTAAAAAGAAAAAAAAGGGGGGGTTTTCTCCCATCACCCCAGACTTTGGAGCAGTGGCTTAAGAAAAATGACTATGGCCTAGAGCTCCTAACTAGACTAAAATTCCCCTAGTTCTAATCCCACTTTTACCACAGATTTGGTGTATGACCTTCAGCACATGGCTGAGAGGAATTGGTTTGGATTCAGGCCTTGTCTACACTAGAAAGGCTTTTCTGGTGCAGTTCCATGGGGAAATCCTCCTAGCAGTGATGCAGCTAGTCCATTGGAAGAGTCCTTTTGCCAGTGCAGTTCATACCAGTTCCCCAAATGAAATAAACCATTCTGGCAAAAGGACTGTTTTGCCGATATAGCTGCAGCTACACTAGGACTTTTGCCAGCACCACTATGCCAGTCAGGGGATGATTTTTCACTCCTAACTAACAAAACATTTAAGTGGGCCAGGCCTCAGCTTGGGACTTTGCTCCTGATTCCATAGACCTCTTCCCTTCAAGCTTTGTTTGTCTCAGCCTTAGGTGGCCTGACCTGATGAAGCTGTGGGGACTGAACCCATAGCTTGGAGAGAAGGTTATTACAGTGACCCACCAGAGCATTGGTGGAGCAACCTGTAAGCTAAGCAGTGTCCTTCCTCAGCGCCATCCAGCACCGACTCAGTCCCATCACCCTCTCGTGGAATAGGCCCTTCACCCCAATGAGAGAGAAGCGCCCTGACGCCAAATGCAGGAGGCGGCAGCTGTCAAGCCACGGTGACAGGTTTAACCTCGGACCCATGGCTGAGGCCCGGGAAGCAACCAGAGCATGGTCAGCTCTGTGCTTTGAGCTAGTAGCCAGCTGGGATGGGTGTAGGCTGGTCACAATGGCCATGAGAGCCTGCGACATCATCCCTGGGGGCAGTGTGTCACCCAGAGCAAACGAATGGCTGAGGGAGACAGCTGAGCTGCCAGTTCTGGCCTCCAGCACAGAGACCTGGACACCAGCTCCAACCCCATCCTGGGACTCTCACGTTAGATGCTCAGGCCTCGGCCTGGGAGGCTTCCTGAATTTGAGGTCACAGGGAACCAGCTCAGCTGCCCCGACTGGAGACGTCTAGGCAAATAGCAGTTTGCTGCCGAGGTCTCGAAGGGGTGCAGCTTCCGCAGGTAGGTATGGGACCGAAGCTCCCTCCAGGGCAGGGGGTCTGTGCTGTCTGTGTCGGGCTATCCACAGCCCAGTACGAAAACTCCCTTCCCAATACAATCCCCTGGGCCACCCCAAAGCATCGCGTTTCCACCCTCCATCATGACATGAAGTGAGACTGCACATCTCCTCCTCCCCCAGGGTTACGGGTCTAGGACCACCTTAGACCAACGTATTCCTGCTACTTCCTCCCTCCACGGGTCCCTCACCTCCCCTGCACATGGGATTGGGCAAACACCAGCTTTCCCCTTCCTCCTGCTCCTGTCTTCTTACCACACCCCAGGGCCTATGACCAACCCTCCCATGCCCCCCTGAAGCCCACCCAGCTCTTAAGAGCCGAGCTCTCTGCCCACCCCCTCCCCTCCTGCCTCGGCCTGCCCAGCAGTATCGGCGTGTTTGTGGCGAGCACGGTTCCTCATTGATCCAGCTGTCTGGCAGCGAGGCTATCTGATAAATCCAGGCAGCAGTAATGAACCTCCCAACACGTCTCTTCCCAGAGAATAAACCAGCCCTGGCCCAGGCGGTTAATATTTAACTGAATAAGGGCCATAAATATGGAAAATGGGACTTTTAATTAAATAAGCAGCTTTTAAAAGGCCCCTTGGGCTAGAGAGGCTTTTGTTTAAATATGATTGATTTGACACGTCCTTTTCCTCACGCTATCTCGCTCTCGCCCACTCCTCGGAGTCGAACAAGCAGGGACACTCGGTCCCTGGGCTTGTTCCCAGGGGCTAGAGCCAGCCCCGGGAGGGGAGGAAGGGGAGCAGCCCCACAACTGGCTGGCTGCCTCAGGGCTTTCCCATTGGGGTTATCGCCTTTTCACAGCACCCTGACGGGCATGATGGGGAGCTGAGTGTAAAAGACGCAAGAAACCAGCCGAGGAAATCTTTGGGTTTGGGACAGTGGGGAAGGTGATAGGGAATGGGCGGCAGGGCTGTGCACACTGCCCTCATGCCCCTGGCCTCAGTCTCGATCCTGCCACATCCCCTGCTATTTCAGTGCTGATATTTCTGCTGATGCACCCCAGTGCCACTCCACAGCCCCCTGCTACTCCTGTTCTGGCCTCCCACACACGACTCTGCCAGAGGACCTCAGGCCGGACCTCGCAGCACCGCTCTGACTCCAGACCAGGGAGCTTTACCAATGCCCTGAAGCTCCCCATGCCATTCCAGCCCCAGTCTCCTGCTCTGCACTTCCCACTTGACTTCCACTTGACTCCTGGCCTGAGACACTCTTGCAGTCCTGCTTTCCTTAGCAAACTCTGCCAATGTACATTTGGCCTGCAGCCCGTCTTCCTGCTCCAGGACTGTTCCTATTCACTGTGCTGCGAGCGCTGGAGGAGAACACTTGCTTTTCCCATTTGCACTCCTCCAGGAGAAGGGAGTTTTGCAGTAAAGATAGAGGCTCCATTTCCAGTTAGATTCACTTACTGCTCAGGCATGCACCGTGTGGCAAAGCTTGGTTGCCCCAACCCTGCAGCACTCAGCCCTGGGTGGCACAAGTGGGCAACCATTTGCAGAGGTTCACAGGGAAAGGCCAGATACAGAGCCCATCAGATCCCTGGTGGAAGGGGCTATCATTCAGTGGTCTGACTGGGGAATCTTCCCTTTATTATCCATCAACTCCACACCCTTCAGGCTGGATTTCCCCACCCTCCTGCCCTCTCCTCCCTGGGTTGCCCAGCTACTGCAGGGACTTGGGTGCGCTAGGAATTGGACAGAAAGATACTTCCACCCCCTTTGCCTAATTGCTCTGAACTTTCCCGTACTTCACAACAGCATCTTGCTTCAGCCGCAAACGTGGAGGGGGCAAAAGGCTAAGGCTTAGGTCCACTGAGATATTTAGGAACCTAACTCCCATGGATCGCAGTGGGAATCAGGCTCCTAAATACCTTGGGGGATCTGGATCCATGTGTCTAGGAAGGTCTTTGCCATCAGGTCATCCCCGTTGTCCATCAGAGCCCAGAGGTGCAATGTCAGCAATGACAGTTGCTTCTTCACCCTTTCCCCAGGAGGGAGGATTGAGCTGGTGAATTCGCTACAGACCACCAAGGCCTAGCACATGCTGCATCCACAGATCCACTCCTATGAGCTGCTGTATCAGTGTTATATTGCAGTAGAGTCCAGAGGCCCAGCTGAGATTGGGGTCCCATTGTGCTAGGTGCTAGAGACAGGCCGTGCCCTAACCAGCTCACAGTATAAATGGACAGGACACCGGGTGCATGAGCAAACTGAGCCATAGAGGGGAAATGACTTGCCCAAGGTCATTTCCTGACCCCCAGGCGAGTGCTCTAGCCACTAGACTACACTGCCAGATACAAAATTGCCCTGGGAAGGGATATTGGAACAAAACCATGGATTCCCTGCATTCCAGCAGCTCTCAGATCATTGCATCAAAGAAAGGAGGGAGGGCAGCCTTTCCCCTTCCCTGCATCCTCCCCAGAGCTTTTGTGTTGTGGCGACACCCCAGCAAACCTGGAGACAACTTCATATCCCAGACTATTCTGCAGCAATGGGCTAAACCATTCAAGACAACCATGACCACAAGACAGCAGCCAGGATGCCTCAGAGCCTTGCTCAAGTCATCAGAGAAGCAATAGGAACAGTGTACGCAAGCCAAGCTGAAACTGCACCTATCCTGGCTCCTTGGGGAGTGAGAGGCAAGGTCAAGACTTGAGCACTGCTCCCCCTAGTGGTAGGACATTTCCCACAGCGCCGTGGTTATGTTAAAATACATTAAATCACAGTTTCTTTAAAGTTGTTTAACATGGAGGCTCATTTAGGCTTCAGGGTGTTTTTATTTTAAAGCTATTTTGTAGATTCCAGGTTATTTCCTATTCTCCCAGTGCAACTGGATCAAATTTTGTGTATGAAACTTTTTTCGTTGAAAAATGCAGATGTGGCAGCACGGAAACCTTTCGCAAGGTCAAGTCTGGTTCCCAAACCTGTGTCAGCCGGAAACCCTAAAAGTAGTTCTAAAAAAATCAAAGTGTTTCATTTGGATGTTTTCAAAACAAAATGTTTGATTTCCTAGAATAAAATGGTTTCATTTTAAAACTCTGTTAAATTTTTTAATAAAAGCCATCAAACCTGGTTACAAATGCTCAACACCGAACTCACATGTTTTGTTTGACTTCAAGCAATTTTTCTTCCAGACTGTTTGATTCTCCAAAACTTTTGAAAAAAATAGTTTTTGGTTTAACCACAAATGATTTTTCTCTTCTGATTTTTCGGAATTGCCAGTGAATTGAGAATCTGTTATATGCGTCTTGTTCTATGTCACAGATACAGGGCTAGCTGCCCCTTGGACCCCTGCTTCCAATCTCACTGAACACACCCCACTCAGCTGTTAGGCCCTTTGCCTGTAACTATACAAGGGGCAAAACCATGATTACCCCATTCTCAGACCAGTCTCTGCTGTAATTCCCTGGGCATCAGCTGTGATTGCTCAGCAGGATCAACTGGGTCTAGTGACCTGCAGGCTTTCCCTTCAGGAGCTGGAGTGAGCACGGGGACCTCAAAGCAAACTTTTCAGAATAAAGTATTTTTAATTTCAAAAGTAGGAACAAAGCATCAACAGAGCACAGGGTTCTTAACACAATGGAAGGTCTAAGCACATCTGTATCTTACCGAGATGCTTAGGGAGGCCTAGCTTATCCCAGACACCCCCACCTCCAGGGACTGGGGCTCAGACTGCTTCCCTGCAAGTATGTCTGCACTGCAAAACAAGGTGTGTTCCTAATTTGGGTTAAAACAGCAATGAAGACACAGCAACTTGGCTTGTAAATACATTAGGAGCTCAACTCAACTCCTCCCATCCCCATTTTTCACTCTTCCTATCTGGTCATCCTAGTTTAAACCCAAATTGCTGTGTCTTGACTGCTATTTTAACCCAAACCAAGAACACGTCTTCAGTTTTTTTTGCAGTGAAGACAGAACTTCAGTTGTTACCAACTCTCATGACCCTGTCATGGGTCTCAGGATAATCATTGTTTTCCTTAAAGCCCCAGCTCCTGGAGTCACGTGGAGATGTGATGATTTCAGCCTTGATTCTTAGAGAAACAGTAAGCTTCTGGCCCTCGGAGCTGTGGAGAAAGCATCAAAATGTGACCTCAGTGCACCCTAGAGGCTCAAAAAGCAGAAGGCAAATTAAAAAAAAACAACAAATCTAGTATTTTTACCTACTCTCACAATTTTAAAGCCAATCTTGTGATTGGTGGTGAGCCTGACTCATGATTTTGGAACATTTGGGGTTGGCAGTCCTGTAACTTGCCTGTCTCCCCCTGTGCTTCTCTTCCTTTCCAAAGTTCTGCAGTTGCCTGCCTGGAAGCCCCCCGAGATTACACCCCTGCTTGCCAGCCAGGTGGCCTCAACATGGACCAAGGTAAACTCTAAGGGGAAAGACCCTTGCACTGTCCTTTAAGTATTGGTAAGCAGGGCACCGTGAAGCTAACTGTCTCCTGGACAGGAGGGCATTAACCCTTCGTAACCCTACGGCAAGTACTATCATAACAATCAATCAGACAGATGGAACATATAAAATTCATGAAATATTACAGGCATCTCCCATGTCCATAGGTGCCAAGTCTGTGGGTGCTGTAGGGCTGGAGCACCCGTGGGGGAAAAAAGGTGGGTGCTCAACACCCACCAGCCACAACTGTTTGGCAGCACCCCCAATCAGCTGTTTGGCGGGGCCCCTGATTAGCTGATGGGAGATGCCGCCAAACAGCTGTGGGGGCTTGGGGGAGGGCAGAGAGCAGTGAGTGGGCAGGGGCCTCAAGGAGGATGAGGAGCAGGAGTGGGAAGAGGTGGAGCACGGGCAGGGCCTTGACGGAGGGGGAGGAATGAGGGGGAATCTTGGGGAACAGGGTGGAGTGGGGACGGGGCCTAGGGCATTTCTGCCTATAAGGTGCTCCCCCTATGCCCAGGCACGAGGGGGGGGGGGGCGTGCAGCAGAATGAAAGCACAGATTTGGCAGATGATCACGTTTTTATATGCCATCCTACTGCGCTCCAACAGGGCTGAGGGAAGGCAATGCCCCCGTTAGGCCCTGATTCAGCAAAGCTCTTAAGTGCCTGCTTAACTCGACACACGTATTTAAGGCCTGCTGAAATCAACAGGATTTAGGCACACAGGCCGGAGATTTTCCAAGGGCCCGGAGGGAGTTTAGCTGCCCAAATCCCATTCAAAGCCAGCCAGAGTTGGGTGCCGAATGTGCACAGGCACCTTTGAAAATGCCGTCCCCCTTAAAGATAAGCACATTTTCAAACGCTTTGCTGCACTGGGGCACAGTGGGGTGGGGCAAAGAGCAGAAGCTGCAGGACTATTCCTGAGCTGGCAAGTGCAGCAAGAGTTACGCAAGTGGGGACAAAACCTCTAGGGGTGTTTGTGCTCCCCCCCCATGAACACCCTTTGTTTTAGGGGTTTGGATCTGCTAGAAGTCCTTAGGGTGCCTCCCCCTCTTTTTAAAGTTTTTAAAATGTGTGGAGTGGGGGAAGAAGAAAAATGATTTTAAAATATAATGGCTGCTACACAGAAAGCCTCATTGAAGTGCCTGAGTGCCGTCCAACTGCACCAGCCAGAACGCACCTGCTGTATAGCAGGACAGCCCAGGCAGGAACAAGCATTGCAGGAACTTGGATTTATCGAGGGTCTTTCAGCCCCTGGAGCTCAGCAGACGGTTCCTGGAGAGGGAGCAGAAGAACAGGAATTAGGGCACACTGAAGCTCATACAAGGAAGGAGTGGAGCCAACATGGCATGCCCGCGCCCCTGTCAGTTTTCTGGGTTGGGGGCCACGGCTGCTTTGGTCATTTGGGGCAATGCTTGGGGCACAGTAGACTGGAATGATGGGCCTAGTGATTCTACCCCAGGCCTTCTGGGTGACCGAAGGCAAGTCACTTACAGTCTTTTGGCCTCCACTCTGAACCTGTGAAATAGGGAGAATGATTCTTTCCTTTCTGCCCCTCTTTGGCTTGTCTCTTTAAACTGTCAGCTCTTTGGGGCAGGGCCTTAGTCTGGATGTTGCTGGGTTGACCACTGTGAAACTCTGAAGCATCTAGCCTGGGCCTTTGAAGTCAATGGGAGTCCCACTCCCTGACCCCAATGAAGCCACACTCCATCTTGCCAGTAACACTGTCTGGGTTCTATCAACCCTTCTCCCGCCTGTCACTCAGCCCCGGAGAACTTATACCACGCTGGTGACCCACTTGATTCTACTCCTGCTGCTTTGCACTCACTTGGAGACCTGGGAGGGAGGGAGGGAGACATCTCCCTTGAGTCTGGGGACCAGTACGAGGGTGAGGCAAGAAATCAGGACCGAGAATGAAGCATTGACTCAAAGAGCCTATGCATCAGGGAACTAATTGCCTTTTATGGCTACAGTCCGTTTCCAGCGTGCACTGAACAAAGGCCTGTTTCTGAATCATAAAGCATTTGACAGTAGTTCCACTTTGTTTAAACCTAGATGCATTCAGAAGGGTCCCTCTCAAGATCAAAATCCTTGATTTTGAGAAGTAATGTCCCTAGCTGAGGCCCTGACAACACTTGCCATTATTACAGTCCATATAATTTTTAAAATCTAAATTAGTGTGAAACTCTTCCATCAGCTACACACCAGTGTAGTTCAGAGTAACCCTGCTGCCTTCAATGGAGCTACACCAGCTTTCCACCAACATCCCCAAGGACAGAATTTGGTTGTTCACTTAACACATACATTTACTTTGTGCACTGAACTCAGCTTGAGCATTTAAACTGGCTGGTTTGGGTGCTGCTCATAAGGCACAGCACTCGATTCCTTCTCCTGTGTGCACTGATGTGAATCAGGAGCGGCGTCACTGAAATCAGGGGAGAAGTGCTGGCCTGAGAGGGGTGTAAGGGAGAAAAAAAATCAGGCTCAGTGTCTAATCCAGCTTCTGACATGCAATCCGCACACCACAGGCTTTGGGGGGATGGAGGTGTGTGGTTCACTACCTTGTATCAGCCCACATCCTCCTCCCCTTTCAAAGACGTTAAAAATCCTGAAGGCACATTTTCATAACAGAGACTAGCACGGTTTATTTTATATACTTACAATAAAGCCTATTATTTGTATGTATTTATATTACAGTAGCATCTAGAAGCCTTATCTGAGATAGGGGCCCCATTGAAATAGGTGCTGTACAGACACAGAGTGCTATGAAAAGCACACAATCTAAGCAGACAAGACAAAGGGTGGTTGGGGAAACTGAGGCACAGAGAGGGGAAATGACTTGCCCAAGATCACCCAGAAAATCTGTGGCAGGGCTGGGCATAGAACCCAGTTCTCCTCCAACTCAGCCTAGCTGCTAGATGAAACTGCCTCTAAAAAACAACCTTCAAGCTGAAACTCCAGTCAACGAGCAGTGTCCCTTTGAGAGACAAAGCGTTTGTGGTTTATAGTCTGGAGACATTAAAAAACAAACAAAAGAGCCCAACAGAAGTGCATAAAATCCCCCCGAACAAAGAGACCAGATTTTGGCTTTGGAGAAGAGAAGGTTCCTAGAGCAACGCTCCAGGCAGATAAATGACTTTCTGTTACTCCTACAAGTTCGGCGGGAAGGGAGAGAGCCGGAGAAAAGCAGCGCGAGGGAAGGAGGGGAAACCGGAGAGCGGGTAAGCGTGGATAAAGGAGAGCAGTAGGGAATGCTGTGCAGCAGGCAGGCGCAGGTCCAAGGTCAGCGCTCCCACTCTGCTCAGTATGCCGCGCTACCTGCCGACTCCACATGAGCACACCCAGGCAGCCTGAGGCTATGCAGAGCCGTGGCCTCTGTCAAGCACACGCCACTGGCAACACAGCCCCCCTCCTCCCCCAGCCGAGAGGCCAGAGCTGTGCTTCATCTCCGTGTGCCAGCTCCAAGGGCGATTTACGGCTGCCCTCGCTGCCCCGCTCCCGGATCCCATTTCACTGCAGGCCGGGCTTTACACAGAAAGCCTTGGGGCATATGCTGCTGCAGTAATTCATGCCGCCTGTGACACGCCACAGCCGCTGCCTTGGCAACGGACGAGGGTGTTACAAGGCACCGTCGCCTCCCTTCTGTGTACAGATGGGGGTGGGTTTGTCTCTGGAACGGGGGAACCGTGGCTCAGCTGCCCACTTAGATGGACCAGCCTGAGATGTGCTAGGCAGGGCCGCATTTGGCTCTTGTCCGGCTACGGTCATGTCAACAAAACAGAACATGACCAAGCCAGCCTATTCAAGCAGAGAGCTGCAATGTCTGAGCTGGATCCCAAGGATCTATAAGATCCCTGTCAGGATCCAGGAGGTCAAGGCACTCACTGGCCTTTTAGCCAAAGTCAAAACATTTTGCTGCAGGTCCCTGTGAAATTACCTGAGCTGAAATTTCATCCCTGTCACGCGTTTGTCCGTTTCACGAAAGCATGGAGTGATGGGACAGTTTGGCATCGCTGGGACTGCAGGCCCAAGGAGAGCACTAGCCCAGGACTGGAAAAGCAAGGGGGGTATTGTAGGCCAGGACTGAGCGACGTTGGCAGACCTGGGCTAAGGGGGCAGGACTGGAATAGCAGGGGTGCTACAGGTCAGGATTGAGGGGCAGCTGCAGAGCTGATGTGAGAGAGCAGGGCTGGGGGTACTCTATACTGCTCAGGACCAGGCTCCAACCAGAGATCACAGCCCCTGCGTTATACAATGTCTGGCTCTAGCCAGCATTATCAGCTACTTCCCTGAGTACTTACATTCACGTACACCCCCAAATAACTCAAAACTAGAGTCCGAATTAGAGGATAAGGTGCAGAGCTATAGTAATAGGTTGATAGGTGTCCCTTAAAGACTTGAGAGGTGCTGCGTCCTAATGATCAGTGCCTGCGCCTGGGAGTCGGGACTCCCACGTCTGAACTTGGTAACTTTCACCCAGCATCATCAGGAGAGGGAAAGTGTCTTGGAGGCTATGGTCACAATTCCCATGTGGAAAGAACTGTTTCATGGCAGCCCCCTAGCCCCAATAATCCAACCAGTGCACTGCCAGGGCCCGGACTGCACGATCTCAGATGTTTTCCATCTCTAACTTCTATGATTCTCTGAGGTGTCAAGTTCAAGGTCTCAGTCCTTAGTTTCAAGACGCTCAGCGGCCTGGGCCCTGGACACCTCAAAAATAATCTAAAGCTCCGGGATGAAGATGGTGATCAGCAACTCCACTCCCCAGACACAATAGAACCTTCTACCACCAGGGTAAAGCTCGTTTTTAGACTGTTCAATGAACACAAGCACTGAGGACCATCTCAAACCTCCCCACCTTCTGATTCATGGTGGACTTCTCTGACCTGCCTTCTCTACATGCGGAGCAATGCGTCCATTTAAAAAATCAAAACCAAATGCTCCACTGCACATCCGATTCTCCCCTCAGAAAAGGGCAAGAGAATGAATGCACCACAGGAAGTTACTCAGAGACTGCTGTGATGGGGGTGTGTGATGGGGCGTTTGTCCCACACTAGCCCATAAAGGGTTAATAGGACCTTAGGGAGGCTGTGCAGGAGACAGCCAATTGGAGAGGGGCTGTGAGGAGCAGCCAATTATGTCTGGACAGGCCCATATAAGAAGAGCTGCAGGGCAGAGCAGGTCAGTCACTCCCTGGAGCTCAGGGAGGGAGGACGAGGTCGAGGACGACGACGATGACGACTGGCTGCCTTGCAGGCAGAGGTCAGATAGCACCTTGGACAGAGCAGTGCTGGGCAGGATCAGGGGAGCAAGAGTGAGCTCCTAGCGGACTGCTGACAAGCTGGGGCCCTGAGACAAGAGCGGAGAAGGTGCTGGGGCTGCGGGGAAGTGGCCCAGGGAAGTAGGCTAAGGGGTTGGCGGGGACATCGCATGTGGCTGCCATCTACAGGGTCCCTGGGATGGGACCTGGAGTAGTGGGTGGGCCTGGGTCCCCGCCTTTCCCCTAACTGCTACCAAGGAAGTGGCTGGACAGTGGACAGCTGTTCCCCTGGAAGGGGGAAGAACTGAGTGTGACACAGCTGGAGGGCTATGTCTTGAAGAGGATGCCACAGTCCTTGGGGTGACACGGGTCCAGGAGTGGAGGTGATGGCAGGCGAGACACCGCCAGAAGAGGGCGCACTGACTAGCAGAGCTGATCCCTGGGACATCCAGCAGGAGGTGCCGCAGTGGTGAGCCGAGGCCCATCACAGGGTGGATAAGAACCTACGCAGAAGAACACAATAGAAGGGTGACCCTTTGCTGAGTAGGCCGATATAAGAAAGGACAGTGACATTTCTGGTGAGCTGGGTGAAGTTACAATCCCAAAGCCATGGAGCAGCTGCTGCCTGGCCTCTGGGTGTTGGCAGAGCCCCACCAAAGAGTGTAAGCCACAGGATGATGCAAGTGCCAATTGACTGGGCTTTGCTGAAGAAGCCATGGGGAAAAAAGCACCTCCTTAAGAAACTGCATTGGAATCTAGGCTGGGCCAAAGCACAAACCCAGCCAGCAGCTCCTGTGCTTTGGGGACGCATAGAGCTATGTCCCATGAAAGATCTGCGGCTCACAGGATGGCCCTGTCTCTAATGCCAGCAGGGTGAATAGAGGGGGAGGAAACACGACTGCCAGACCTTCATGTGCCCCCATTCAGCTATGGGATAGGGCGGCAAACTCATCTGATTTCCCCTTCACAATAACTTGAGATCCCACAGACCCTGGGGCGGGGTCAAGTCAGAATC